ATAGTATATGAGGATCGGGTGCCACGTTCCGGTACCAGGATAGTATATAAGGATCGAAGTGTCACGTTCCGACACCAGGATAGTATGATGAGGATCGGAGTGTCACGTTCCGACACCAGGATTAGTAAAGAGAATGAATCTTGAAATATGTTAATATACTCAATTTAATGAACCTAAATCCCAAATGAGTATGATGGGGAGGCGTGAGTCCTCATTGATGAGCTTGGTGTTATGACCAAGTGTTATGGTAATTGTAAATGCCGCATGTTGAGTATTGTAGTTGATTTTATGATATTATCTGATATATACTGTCTTCTATTTTGAGTTGGCCGATGATATCTACTCAGTACCTGTGTTTTGTACTGACCCCTACTTGTATGTTTTCTTTTTGATTATTTGTGGAGTGCAGCAAACGTGCCGTCGTCTTCAACTCAACCGCAACTCCAGTCTTCATTACACCGGATTTCAGGGTGAGCTAACGCTTCTAGCTTGGACTGGATCTTCCTCTTCATGTCTTGATGCCTTGAAGTTCTGGCATAGACTAGCTATTATTTATGTTTAGTTTCTTAGATACTCTTAGCTTTAGTAATTTGAGGATAGATGTTCTTGTGATGATGACTTCCAGATTTTGGGGATAATAATAGTTGTTGAGTTTTTAGAAGTTATTTAATTGATTTCCATTAATGAGTTTAAGTCTTCCGCATTATTTTCTGTTATTATTGGTAAACCATTGGGGTTAGATTGGTTAGTTCGCTCACATAATAGGATAAGTGTGGGTGCCAGTCGCGGACCGATTTGGGTTGTGACAGAAAGCCATGAATTTGGCGGTTACCTACGAAAAGCGGAAGAACATCGGAGAGAGAAGGTCAAAATTTTTTCAATGGAAATTCAAATTAAAAGGGAAGAGTAATTTTAGGAAAATATATGGAATGAGCATAGGAGAGATAAATTTAATATTAAATAAAATTATATAAAAATCTTTGAATGACTATTTTTATTCTGTATACAAATAGATAGTGGTCCCATTAATTATGACAAAAAAATTAAAACTATATTTACTGACCGTAAATAAATTAAACTATACCCTTATTAACTAATTACATAGGGATGTTTGCCATCCCATGTAATTTTTCCTATAATAATTGATACGATAGATAATTAAATGAGCTTTAGGGTCATATATATATATATATATATATATATAAGAAAGGATCTGAAAAATTTATGGAATATCAAATTTTATGGATCTGAAAAATTTATGGAATATTTTTTACCCCGCACTATTTAATAGTGTATTTTAAAGGCATATATGTTTCCACATGGACACATTTCTATTTGTAATTATGTAATGTAATATTTTTTATGTCTATATGGACACATATATACCTTTAAAATATAGTATTAAATAGTGCATGGGGTAAAAGGTCCTTTCAGAAGTTTAGTATCGTAACATCGATTTCGATCAAAATTTGAATATATTTCATATATATATATATATATATATATATATATATATATATATATATAACGGTTAGACAAATTTATATTATTTAATTACTCATCATAGTTATAGTTTGCTGTAATTATCACTCACGACTAACATTATACATTAATTACATGAATGGTGTTGAGTTTATATGATTAGTCACGTTTACTATTCGCGAAAATATACAAATACATATGTAGAATATACAATTATCTAACAGATATACATATACAATTCACCTTTCTCTTACTCTTTTCCCTAACTCTCCTCTCTCTCCCAGTCTCGTTCGCCTCTCTCCTCCATATAACATGTAGCTATATATATATATATATATATATATATATATATATATATATATATATATATATATATATATATATA